TTAAATTGAATTTTGAAACTAAACTTTTTTCATCTCTCTACATTTTATCTATCGCATAGGAATCTTTTGCAAGTTGTTGAATCTACCTCATAATTTTCATAATCAAGTAGTTCATTGTATCAATAGAATTGATTTACTTTTATTTTTAAAATTTCAGAAAGGTAGCATATTAAAAAAAAAAGGTCAATGATGCCAAATAATAAAAAAAAAAGGCCAATGCTGCTAAATCAAAAGATGCGTAATGACACCAAATTTAGAAAGATATACAAAGTGTATCAAAAGAAAATGGTGCACAAAGTGCGCCAAAAAATTGACAAGAGGCATAAAACTTGAGCTTGGATTAACAATTTCTAAATTGCTTACTTTTATTGGATTATGCGGTGTCAATCCATTCCTTACTAAGTTTTTTATAAAATTAAGAGATAACTTTTTCTTTTTTAAGTTTTTTCGTGCCCGTTCTCTTTTTGATAATGTCAAATGGGGAGAACGTACTGTTGTATTTGTTTTGTATTGTTGTGTTTGTATCTTTTTTTTTCTTCTTCTTTCAAAAATTAAAAATAACAAAAAAATTTTATTTTCCCTATTTTTGAAGTTTTATTTTAGTAAGGGGAGATTAAGAGAAAATGTTTTTTTTTGCAAATTCAACCAGTAATGTTTGCCATCATAAAAAAGGGGGAGATTGTTTCGAATCTGATTTCATGAATTATAATTTTGATGATAGCAAACACTTATTTCTCTACGATTGCCTTGCCTACTGACATTTCAGGTCCATAAGATCAATCTGCAATTGGAACTGACTCATGATTTGGAAAAACTATTTTACTTGTAATTCTCACTGATGTAATTCTTTATTTCTTGAGTCATATCCTATAGGGGTGCTTGCTTGATTTGTAACCTTGCTCACACACACTTGGAAATTTTTTCTATCTGATTTAGAGTTTACTATTTTTGGTAACATCATCCAGGATGATATTTATATTGACCTGGATGATCAGTTCAAAAATAGAAACCCTAATTAGGGTATCCTTATTAAGGCAGCAACATTAAGCACATCATCTTGGACGATTTTGTATCGGCCGGGATGATAGGCTCAAAATAGAAAGAATCAACCGCCATATTTATTTAGGAATTATGTTTTTTTGGACATCGTCCAGGGAATCATCCAGGGCATCATCCTTGATGATCTAGCCCAATTTTGCCTAAATTAATTTAGTATTTAAGGAAAGCAATTAAGACTTCATTGTACGATCAAATCATCCTGGATGATATGCTGGAAGATATGGGACGATATGTTGGATGATATTAGTAAATTTCTTTTGATCGTCTAAGATCGTCTTGGTTGATTAGGCTTATTTTGCACTGATCATACAGGACAATATTAGTATCATCCTGGATGATAATATCTGCAAGTTGCAATTAATGAGCTCATTTTGAGCTCTTCTATTTAAGCTTTGACAAGGCACTTTATAAGTGTCTTTGGCAGCCATTATAGCTTCATTCTTTTGGGGGAAACTTGAAGAGAGAGCTTAAAAGGGAGAGAGGAAAGGGTGGAGTTTGAGAGAGGGGGAAGATCTTTGGAGCGGGACTCAAGGGAGTGTGGAGGGGGATTCTGCATGATTGCTCCGGCGAGCTTACTCTTTAGTACTGTCGGATTCAAGGCTTGTCTTGAGGGAAGTTCACGGAAGAAGAAGATCTCTTTGGTGTCAAAGGACTCGGCTACTCTTCCACACCAGGAAGGTGGAAGTGATTTTGTAAGGGCTTCTCCACTTAGCTGTGGGGGCTAAAGGAGAGACACATAGTTTAGTGCAATACTTAGAGGGTGCCTCCGAGGAGTGGACGTAGGTCAAGGTTTGACCGAACCACTATAAATCTAGTGTGTTCTTTCCTTTATTATTTCCACATTTAATTTTCACATTGTGTTTTCTTTGTGGTGAATTTTGGTTTGGTTTGAGTTTTGTTTTAAAGCTATTTAAAATACCAATTTACCTCTCTCTTAATTAGTCTTGGGTCAGTTTATAAGGGGCCTAACATCCTTATCGAACTTTCACTTTATTTGGTATCTTTCATTGTCATAAGATATTTGATGGCAGTATAATCAATGTAAATAGTAACCTTGGTCCCAATTAAAGAAGACCTAAACTTGTCAAAAGAAAAAATAATAGCTAATAATTATTTTTCAGTGGTTGTATAATTAGATTGTGCATAATTATAGTTTTCTTTGCATAAAAAATAACGTGGAATTTTTTCTCTCTCTTTTGACCCAAAACTGCAACAACAGCAACATCACTTGCATCCTACATCACTACAAAAGGTAAAGACCAATCAGGAGCAATAATTATATGATCTGTAGTCAAATGATGTTTTAGAGTATTGAAAGTTTTGTTACATACAAAATCAAATATAAAAAGGAATATCTTTCTCTAACAAATGGCATAAAGTCTAAGAAAGTTTAGAGAAATCCTTTCTAAATCTTCTATAAAATCCAACATGTCCTAAGAAGTTTCTAATCGCCTTAACAGAATCGAGTGGAGGAAGTTTTTCAATCCCCTAAATTTTTGCAATGTCTACTTCTAATCCTTTCCTAGATATCTTATGCCCAAAGAAAATGCCTTTAATTACCATAAATTAACATTTTTCCTAATTTAGCACTAAATTTATTTCAACACATCTTTTCAAAACAATAATTAAGTGTTCTAGACATTAATTAAATGTAGTGCCAAATAGTGAGAAATCATTCATGAATATTTCAATACCCTGCACAATTAAGTTTGAAAAGATATACATCATGCATCTTTGAAAAGTTGCAGGAGTATTACATAAACCAAAAGACATTCTCCTAAAAGCAAAAGTTTGGTACAGACTAATGAAAGTACTCTTATCTTGATCTTTAGGTGCAATAAGAATTTGATGATAACCAAAATATCCATCTAAAAAGCAATAAAATGGATGCCCTACGAACCTGGCAAGCATTTGATCAGGAAATAGAAAAGGACAATGATTTGTTATGATTACTTTATGTAGTTTCCTATAGTAACCACAAATCCTTTAACCTGTCCCAGTTCTAGTGGGTATTAATTCTTATGTTCATTGGATATAATAAATAATCATCCCTTTTTAGGAACACAATGAATCGGATAAACCCAAGAGCTATTATAAATTAGATAGATAATTCCAACATCTGACCATTTAAGAATCTCTTTTTTAACAAAATCTTTCAGGGAAGGATTAAGTCGTCTTTGAAGATCAGCTTTAGGTATAGAATTTTCTTCCATTGAGATTCTAAGCATACAAATGGAAGGAATAATTCCTTTAATGTCAACAATAGTCCACCCAAAATCTTTTTTATAGTTACTTAAAACCTTAGTCAATTCAATCTCTTGATGTTGTTTTAGATTTGTCAAAATAGTTATAGAAAGAGTCAAATTTTTGCTCATATATGCATACTTAGGATGAAAAGGTAAAGCATTAAGTTCTGAAGTTGGGGGACCCTTCAATAGATGGTTTTAGAGTTTTATCTAAAGATGAAGTTGCTAATAATTCAAATTATCCTTTGTTTTGACTTTATTTTCTAAATTTTATTTCAATGAGCCCATTAGATGTATTTTGTTCTTACATATCTTCTTTTTCCTCAATTGTTTCTCCTTCTAACAACTTTTCTTTGAGATCCTTTACTAATACATCCTCTAAATCCACCCTAAAGCAATGTTCATTTCTTTCTTGAAAGAATTTTATACATTTTAACACTTTTATTGTCACCTCCTGATCTTAAATTCTCATAATTAATTCTCCGTTTTGAACATCAATTATATATTTCCATTTGCCAAGAAAGGTCTTCCTAAAATGAGAAATATCTCCCTATCTTCTTTCATGTCTAAAACAATAAATCAACAAGGAAAATGAAGTTATCAACTTTGATCAGAATATTCTCTATTACTCCATTTGGATAAGTAAAAGATCAAACAACTAATTGAAGAGTAATAGATGTAGGTTGAATATTTCCTACATCTAAACTTTTTAAGATGGGTAGAGGCATGAGGATACTAGATCCTAAGTCACATAAAGCTCTCCCATAGAATTTATCTCCAACAGTTAAAGGAACGGTAAAACTCCTAAGATCCTTAAGTATTTTAGGAATTTTCTTTTGTAAAATGGCACTACATGATTCAGTTAATGCCACTATTTCATAATCACAAATCATCCTTTTCTTACTCAAGATATCCTTCATGAATTTAACATAAGTGGGCATTTGTTCTAAAGCTTCATAGAAAGGGATATTAATGGTTAATTTTTTAAACACTTCTAATAACTTTGAGAACTATTTTTTGATCAACCTCTTAGAGAAAGGGGGTGATGGTCTATAAATAACTTTTTTATAAACCTTTTCAAGTTCTTTAATAGGTACAGATTTTCCTAAGGGGTCTTATTTTCTTGTTGTTCCTCTCTATCATCCTTATCCTAGGGTTGATCTTTCTCTTTATAAGGGTCTACTAGCACTTTCCCACTTCTAAGTTGGATATTATGATATTACTCTACCAAATTTTTATAATTAATCAACCTAGCCAATTGCCCTATTTGATCTTAAAATTTTTTTATGAGCATTAGAGTAATTATTCATTTACATTCTTAATTTAAGAACAATATTTTCCATAGGTTTATTTTTATTCTTTTCAAGATATATTTGTTCAAATTCTGTGGGGCAATGTTGAGGTGCTATATCTCCTAAAATAACTGTTAACCTTCAATTCAGCTAATTTCTATAAATAACAATAACTTGAGTAGTCAAAATTGAGAAAGAATCATTTTCATAAACTCTTGCCACTCTCTTAGGATTCACCCTATTAATAGGCCACTGAAAATTATTTATTGTTATTTCTTTAATTAATTCATAAGCATCTTCAAAAGTCTTTGACATCAAAGAACCTCTAGTTTTAGCATTAATTATGGCTGTAAGGGATCCTACCAATCCATTATAAATAGTTTAAATTATCAACCAATAAGGTAAGGCATGGTGTAAACACTTTCTAAGTATCTCCTTGAATCTCTCCCAACTCTCATAGATAGTTTCTCCTTCTAATTGAGTAAAAGAAGTAATGCTATTTCTAAGCTTTAAAATTTTAGAAGGTGGAAAATACTTTTCTAGAAATTTATAGGCCAACTCATTCCATGTGGTAATAAAGCTTGGGGGTAAGGAATTTAAGCACATTTTTACCATATCTCTTAGAGAAATTGGGAACAATCTAAATCTAATGGCATCATCACTAACATCATTGTACTTAAATATTACATAAATGTTTAAGAAATGTGCTATATATATGTTAGGGTCTTCAATGGGTGTTCCCCTAAATTGAAAATTCTGTACCATCTATTAATGCTTTGGTGAATTCCTTCAAACAAAGGGTTTGTAAAATCTTTTAGAGGTTTAGAATGATCTAAGTTTTGAACAAGGTCAGCCATTTAAAAATTTTTTTTGTTCTAATTTTAGAAAGGGTAATCTTAATTTCAAAATCAAAATTTAAATGTGACTCCCCCTATATCTTTTAAGCATGTAACTATAGAGTCATAATTGATAATTAAAACAAAAGAATAAAAAAATATATTTTGAATAATTATGCAATTGATTAAGTAATATAGTAAATTTTCATATAAAATATATTCTTCCCCAGTAATTATACCAAAACCTTGATGGGGTGGTGGAGTAACCAAAAGAATAATGAACATGATTTAGGACTCCATCAATCCCTAAATAATGCTTAGGTTTTCTTTTATATTAAAACTTTACAAACTCCACTTAATATGTGCAAGTATACATACCGAATCAAGTAATATAATGATAGAGTAGAGTATTGATCACATAAGGAATAATATTTACTTAAAAATACTTGTGCTGTCTAATTTAACTACAATAATTATTCTACTCAATTAAATTATCTTTTTATGGATATTCAATAACTTAATTTAAATTCAAAAATAATTATATGAAATATTATTTAGATCAATTAGTTTGGTTTAATGAAATGTAAATACAATATGTTTTCTAATAATTCTCTTTTATATTGATGTTATTCACATCATATGCATCACCGACTACTCAGTGAAGCATGAAGAGATAAAGGATAGATTAAATCTTTTAACCTCAATGCCACTCTAAATTCTTATAGTCTATCACCCTATGAGAATCATAGAAGAGTAAGTAATACATTTACTGTAATAACCCCTCATAATAATTTATCTATAACATCATGAAATAATTGATGAAGAGATTTTATTAGTACACCAAATTTCATTTACACCATCAATCCAAAATTAATGATTTAGCCAGACATAAAGAACAAGTGAAGCAAATTCATTTTCAATAATTGCACAAAAGAAATAAAGTATAAAAGAAAAGATATCACCAATAATCTCCTCTATAGTCCTCCTTAAACTTATAGTATTACTTCCACAAATATAACAAACACTCTATTAGAATCTATCTAGTTCTTCTTTGAATTCTCTTAGTTTTCACTCCCAAGTAAAAATTAGAGAAACACTATAAAGACTAAAATTAAACAACTGATTAAACTACTATACTAACATTATAAACATAATATTTATAGAAAAATTTAGAAAATCAATTTTATGTTGTGGCGCTCATAACACTCATGTTATGGTGCCCAAAAAATGAACTAATGTCGTAGCACTAAAGGGTTTCCTCCACAACTTCGCTTGTTGATATGGACCCATTATTTAATGAATCATTACTTTACTAGTAGATCACGACATGAATGGTTATAGCTATAGAGCCTCAATGCTGCTGACGATTGAGTGTTGTGGCCCATCGACATGTCACTCCCTTTAACTTGGTGGTGCTAGAATTTGGTGTCATGGTGTTGTGCATACAGAGACTAGGATTTCTAGCACTAACTCCTTCATCACTGTGGTGTTATTAAACAAAAATTTGGCTTTGAGGTGCTGACTCCTCCAAAGATGTGACTGTCAAACAAAGATTGGGCACAACCATGTCTATATTTAGGTACTATGGTGGAGTCAATGATGGTGTTGCATTGTATTATTTCTGACACCGCGACCATGTACCATACTTGAAAATTTTGCCTATTTTATGTATTTTCCTCTAGAAACACAACTAAAATAACATATTTTTACTAATAAATTAATATATAAAATATAACATTTTTTATACTTATCTGCTACTCATGCAACTGTTATATCTAAATAGTTATATACTTTAGTGTTAATTTAGGATCAGGATCACCCAGGAAAATAAAAGGGCATTATTTAAATTATGTTGGTGATAGTAATAATCAATGGGTTGAGGAAATAAATTTGATTAGATGATAAATTGATGCATATTTCAATACTTATAATCTTGGTTGGAGGAATGACCCTATATTTATTTGGTCTAATAATAATGTAGGTGGTAATAATAAGTGGAATGTAGGTCAATTAAATCAAAGAGAAAATTAGAATAACCCTCAACAACCTGTAGTAAATCTTAGACCTTCTTATCCCCTAATTTTAATCAAAAAAATTATTATAGATATAGAAAGACACTATTGGAATAGGTAGTGATTCAGTTAGAAGCCTAATTGGAAAGTCTAGCTACTTCAATTAAAAATTGAAAAAATTTATTAAGATTGCTTACAATCCATTTTAGTAATAGACCCTATGGAACTTTACCCAACAATACTAAAATTAATCAAAAAGAGAAAGGAAATGAGTAAAGTGGTGTCCACTTAATAAGTGGTGGTGATTCATTATAGTCAAAATGACATATCTTGTTAAGTCTACCAAATGACTATAAATTTTGGACTATTTGGGAGTAAACCCAAATCTATTTTTGTATTTATTTATTTTTATAGTTTGTATTTTATGTGAGTGCTTTGTAATGTTTGTGAAAGTCATTAATTTTAATTTTTGCTAAGTATCTTGAGGAATATCTATTTTGCTAGAAATTGAATTAGTGTCGCACTATTAGTATTTTAAGTATTGCAACATTTTCCATTCAAGCATTGCATCATTTTTCTTCAAAAAAAAAAAAAAAAGCATTGCATCATTCAAAACTAATATTACAATGTTTAACTCTAAAGAAAAGTTACTTGATTATAATACCATAGTGTTATGTCTTTGAACATCGTAGTGCTATTAAGCCTCATAGAGCACCCCAGTGCTATATTCTCAAGTGCTACAACATTTAGTTAGTTATTTCTACAGTACGTTTGGAACTGTAGCCAACATTTTATTCTTTCATAACTTTATTAATATGTAGATTTATTGAGCACCATAGTGTTTTCCATAACATTGCATCATTAAGTCAAAATTATTATTATTATGTTAGGAGGAGCATCAATATGGTGGTCCTTTTAGCACCGTAGTGCCCATATGTGTCAAATGCTATAGTGGATGTCCATTCAAAAAGGTAATGATTCATTTTCCAATGTTAAGCACCATAGCTCCATGTGTCCTATGTATTTGCACCATCTATCATGTTGACATGTTTATCATTTTAATTTCTTTAGCATCAAAGCACTACTCTCTCAAGTTTCATAGCACTCATGTTATCTTTATAAATAAGAACATTCAGTTTCAAAAAAATTTTCACTAAGTTGTTATCTCTTTTTCCTCCTAGTTTTCTACATTTCTTTATTTGTTTATGATTTGTAGCAATGGCCCCTAAGTTGTTTGGTGGAAAGAAAATAGCATTATCTTCCTTTGACAAGAGCAGATTTATTTCTGTAAAGGCTAAACAAAGTTTTGTTATCCTAGTTGTTAATAAGCATATCATTCCATAGGTGGCTTTATCCTAGCGGGCAAGTAATGCAAATTATTGCAAATTACGGTTGGATGAATTTGTGTGAGGAGCCTCAGACAACTATTGTGAATATGAAAAGAGAATTTTTTTCCATTGAAAAGGAGGTATTAGACAATAGTTATTATGTGAGAGATAAGAGGTGCTTCTTGACTTTATCATTATCAATTGTTTGTATAAGCTTTAAAATTTTGAGTTTGGTTAGTGCACCCTTATTAGTTTTAGAAATTGCCATGGAGAAGATTTTAATAGTTTTATGTGATCCCAATAGTGAGGAAAGTTAGAAGAAAATGGAGAATAATATTATTAATTTTCCTACATCTTATATGACCCAATCATCTAAAGATTTTCACTACTTAATTTATTTTTGCTCATCTTTTACCAATCAAAATATTAGTGAAATCACAAAGGATCGAGCTTTTTTAAATTATGTAATTCATGTGGGCCTCACTATTGAATTGCGAAAATTCATTCACTCATATTTTCTTTATATCATTAGAGGCACTGCTTATGTGGTGGAGTAATTATGATTTTGATAAGCCAGATTAATTAAGTCTAGAGCTTCACTAGTCCAACCAAGAGATGTATTGGGTCAGCCCAATGCCACAATGAAGCAACCATTTAAGCATCGAGGTGTTAGTTCATTTAATAATGCTGCAATGCTAATATGTTAAGCATCATGACACCCGAGTCTATTTTTGTACTTACTATAAATGGTTTTTTATTTTTGTTGAGAAGTTATATCACTCTCAGTAGATTTCTATAATTTTTAGTAGAGTTCTTTTTTGCCCCCTTAGATTAAATACTAAGGGTGGCTAGGGAAGCATAATATACTTTCATTTAGAGATCTTAGCCTATCTTGTGTAAGCAATTCTACTATTGGAGGAAGGAGTATGGAGAATATCAATTGATCCTTATTGTGACAATTTTCTTTATTAATTCTCTTATATATTTTTTCTTATATGAATGAAATGATCATCAGTTTACTTTTTAGGTTACCCATGTTTGGCTAAATTATTGAGTTTTGGGCAAATGATGTAAATGCATAGCAAGTATTAATATAGACTCATGTGCCTTGAATTAGTTAATTGATTATTTCAATACCTCCTATTCCAAATTTGATGTATACAATTATCATGTGTGTAGCTAATATCTAGTGTGATTATAGCCTCAATGGAGGAATACTAGAATAAATAGAACTATTGAAAGAGAATATTGCAATACCTAGACATCGGATGTTTAATCTTCTAGGTTCCATGAAGATACTAGAATTTTAGATAGGTCATAAACCTCTCTTTTCA